CCCCCGAAGAAATGAAATAAGGACGAAGACAGAGAAGGTTACTTTGGCAGAAAAATGTTATACCTAAGATAAGATAAGATAAAATGTTTCCTTTGCAAGAAATACTTTCTGACAATTTCTATTTTAACTTTTATATATGCACATATGTGAAGTATAATTATACTATGTACGTGGAAGGGCATACATGTACAAACACGTGGTATCTAAATGTTGAAAGTCACGGCTAGCATGTTACGCATCCAAAGACTAAAATAGCAACGAAATGCTTTCCTTTACCAGGAAACACAGATTATAATATTTTCATCAGTATGTTGGAAAAAGACTGGTCATTCAGTTGAGTCTCTGTAAAATTGTTTTCATTTAAAAACATAGCGGTTTCTGGTTTTCCATTAAAAAAAAATTGAATTGATTGTTGCCACGGCTTCTTTTGTTGCTTTGTAAATTAAAGAGAAGGACCTCCTTAATTTGTTTGCATACTTGCATACCTCTATAATATGTTTATATATTATAATACTGGTATAATTATGTAATACAGTTTTATGCTCGCATTATGGGTGAGGATGTGCACGCGTGTTTGTACGTATGTATAATGCTATTTATTCGAGTGTGCGTTTGCTTTGTGTGTATGCGTTTGTGTGTGTGTGTGTGTGTGTGTGTGTGTGTATGTTCGTGGGTATTTGTGTGTCTGCGCGTACTCCTGCTAGTACTATACTAAAAAGCAAAAGGTTCATATTTTGTGTTGTGAAATTGCATTCTGGTGGAGAATCAATAAAGTTGTCTTAACTTATATTATCATCTCTTGTTTTCCTTTTTTTTTTTAGGTATTTACTGCAGCTAGCTTATGTTCTGTCTCTGGTGCAATTTGTCTCTTCTATCAAACATTTATCGCCCATATCGCCCTTCCTTTTTGTGTTTTTTACTCTCTTGTAACACCTCCAGTATTCGGCACTTACATGACATATTGTGTGGCAAGTCGTATCGTAAAACACGTACTGAAACAAACATAATATTCTGCCATGGTTTGATCTTATTGTTCCTCAGAACCACCAACACTGACTGATACATTACAAACATTAAGTACTTTTGACTGTCATTACAACAAAAACATTAACCATAACAGTATAATTTATCGAAGACCAGGTAAGTTATCTCTCGAAACATCTTATTACACATTCCAAAGAATTATGCATCTCTCTCTCTCTCTCTCTCTCTCTCTCTCTCTCTCTCTCTCTCTCTCTCTCTCTCTCTCTCTCTCTCTCGCTCTCTCTCTTCCAGCTACTTCGAATGGAGCACTAGTTATTAATGGTACTTTTCAGAAACCTGAGCATCTTCGTCCCTCTGAGTTCACTCGCTGTCATGTTTCTTTGCATAATCTACCTCCACTTCTGTCTAACATGATGTTCTTGGCCTTGCTCTTAAGCCCTAAGGACTACAGGTCAAAGTTTTTTCTTACAGTATACATACATGCACTTGACACTGATTTCCAGAATCGCTGAACTATCGACTATCCCTTTTTCCGTGTACCACATCCTTCAGCCACCCGTGTGATTCTCGGGGCCCTGTCCAAGAGACAGGGAGCAAAGAATAAAATAAGACAACTGTATCTGTACCGCGCATGTCGTAGAAGGCGACTTAAGGTCGGTTGGGCAAAAGGTTCGCAGCTTTTTCCCATAAAACAAAACAAACAAAAAACAGCTGTAAAAACATCAACAGCAAAAACAAGACTACATCCAGTTCTTGAAGATGAAGGACCTTACACCATGGAAACAACTAAAAAAGGAAGCACAGGACAGGTTTCCCTTGAGAAAGGTTGTTAATGGCTTATTCTGGGAGTTAAAAAGGGCAAGAGAGAGACTTCCTTCAGCAGTCATATATATTTTTAAAAAATAGAAAACTAATAGAACTTGCACAAGATAGAATGGCAAGACACATTTTCGCTCTTTCTCTTTTTTGTGACATTTCTTTCTCATCTCACAAATCAAACCAAGTTTTATATTTTTCCCGATTTTTTTCTGTTAATCAGAATGTTGTGGGAAGAAGAAAAGAAGCCATAGCAAGAAAGACCCCCCCCACCCCCATATATTTTCTCCAGCAGCCCATTTACCCCCGACCCCCACCCCCACCCCCACCCCCCCAAAAAAAACAACAACAACCCTCTCCTACTTCTCTCGATTTCTCTTCTGTACATGTTGAAGATTTTGACAATACTGAATTTTGAGGGACCCCCCCCCCCCCCCTCAAAAGTGTGTGGGCAATTGTGCATCAATATGTATCAAACTTTTGCAAATTTTTAAAATGTTTATGGGCCCCTTTAGGTTACGGACAGAGTTGGGCAGCTCATATTATTTTTTATTGCGTAACTCACCCCCGCTACCTTTTCAATTGCTTCTACTTTATTCTCTTTACATCGGACTTTCTGTTACCTTGTTAGCTTTGATCACATTTTGTTACTCCTTCTTTGAGTAACTTAGAAACAATAGTGTCTCGAATAGACCAGTGGCGGTGGGTAGTTCTAAATGTGGGTGGGGCTGAGCAATTAGGGTAGGTAGAGTTCAAAGGTAAGATTTTCTTGGCCTTGGTCCAGTTATGTGTGAGTATGTTTCGTTTACACACTCACACGCAAACGCGCTCATATGACCTTATACTTATACAGTCATGAGCGCCGTAGAACATTTACAAAAGAAAAAAATCAATTAAACACGCAAACGTACACTTACAACAG